GGAAGTCAATGGTTCTTTTCTGAGGTTACTGAACAAGGAGAACAGGGTAATGGAATTAGAATAGAGTGCTACTTACTTTGGCAATGTGAGGAAAAACTGCCATCTATTCAACATGAAGAAAAACTCTGAAACAACATGTTTTGTCATATTGCCAGTTTTCATCCTTAAATGTGAATGAACAATTATGTAAAGACCTAGACAGAGAAATGAGTTGGTAGTAAAGGGTACATATTCAGAAAACTGAAGAGAAATTCAAATATAATAAATATAAACATAAAAAAATATGAAACCTCTTTTTCTTTTCAGGTTTTACAACCTTAGGGCAGCATTTACATATATAATTCACACATTTATGGTATACTAGTAAATTTTTAAGCCATTTCCATAATCATGTTTTGGAGTATTTTCATCATCCAGTAAGAGTCTTTGTGCCCATTTGGATAAGTTTTTAAATTTGTTAATATTATTTTAATTGCATATATTTATGTAATATAGTGTTATATATACATATAATCTGTATTAATCAAATCAATGTAGTTAGCATTTTCATCTTCTTAAATGTTTTATTTTTAATTAATTGATAACTGATACATAAAAACATTAAAAATTATATATATTAATGGGGTACCATGTAATGTTTCAATTGTATACATGTATACATTGTTTAATGTTTAAATCTGGATAATCATATTTATCTCAAGCATTCATCATTTCTTCTGGTGAAACTTTCAAAATCCTTTCCTCTATATTTTTAAATGTACAGAACACAGTCTCTGCAATAGCACTCCAGACTTTCTTGTTCCTGGGTAAATGTATAATAGTATCCATTGACCTGCCTTTTCTATCCCTCCTTTTATTCTCTGAGACCTCTGGTGGCAACCAACATTCTATGCTCAACTTCTAAAAGATCAGCGTTTTGGGATTTCCCATATGATTGAGATCACGTGGTACTTTCTGTACTTGGCATATTTCACTTATGAGATCATAATGATCTCAAGTTCCATTCATTTTGCTACAAATTATAGGATTTTATTTCTTTTATGGATGAATCATATTCCATTGAGGATATGTACCACAGTTTCTTTATSAGTTCAGCAGTATATAGACACTTGGTTTGTTTCCATTTCTGGACTGCTGTGAACAGTTCTTCAGTGAACATGGGAGTGTTCTTTGTCTCTTTGTCAGACTGATTTCTTTTGATTTAGATATGCATCCTATAGTAGATTGCCAGATCATACACTGGATAAACTTATTGTTTGATGGCATTACTAATTTACATTCCCACCAACAGTCTATAAGAGTTCTCCTTTCTCAAAATCCTCACTAGCATTGCTTTCTTTAGTCTTTCAGATATTAGTCATTCTAACTGGGGTGAGATGATAATCTGTTTGTACTTTTGACTTGCATTTCCTAACAGCTAATGAAGTTGAGCATATAGTCATAAGTGTATTGGACATTTGAATTTATTCTTCAGAGAATACTTGTATCTACTTGTATCATTTTAAAATGGATTCTTTGTTTCATTTGTTTGCTGTTTGAGCTTTTTCAGATACTATATGTTCTGGATCATTTGCCTTAATCCTTTGTCAGATGCATAGTTTGCAATTTCCCTTGCTTCCTATAGGTTGTCTCTTCCTAGTGTTTTTTCTATTCCTCCACAGAAGCCTCTTAGTTCGAAGAAATGCCAATTGTCTATTTCTGCTTTCATTGCTTGTTCTTTCATAGTCTTGCTCCTACAAATGTTTTGAAGCAATTCCTCTACTTTTTTCTAGTAGTTTCATATCTTAATTTAGGTCTTTGATCCATTTTGAGATTTTCTAGTATAGGATGAGAGCTAAGGATCACATTTCAACCCTCTTTTTATCAATATCTTGTTTTCCCAGAACCATTTATTGAAGATGTTATTTCTCCAATGTATGCCTTTAGAATTTTTGTAAAAAAATCATTTGACTGTAAATGTATCAAACTATTTCTGGGTATCTTAGTCTATCCCGTTGGATTGTGAAGTCGTTTTTATTCCAATATCATGCTATTTTGACTACTTCAGATTTGTAGTATATTTTGAAATCAGGTATTATGATGCCTGCAACTTTGTACTTTTTGTTCGAGATGACCTTTGCAAATTCTATCTGAATTTTTAAAGTTTTTATACTTCTATGAATAAAGTCATTAGTATTCTGATAGAGATGATTAGCGCTGTTTGCAGTTGATATGATTCTGCATGTAGAAAAACCTAAATACTCCACCAAAAGATAACTAGAACTAACAAATAATTTTAGTGAAGTTTCAGGATACCAAATCAGTATATTGATGTAAAAATCAGTAAAATTTTATACACTAAAATGTTGTTACTGAGAAATATATCATGAAAGTCATTGCATTAAAAATAGCTCCAAAATAAATAAATAAAATACTGAAAAATAAGTTTAACCAGGAAGTGTAAAACTTCTTCTACAATAAACCCCACAAAACTCAGATGAAAGAAATTGRAAACAACACAAACAAAAAAATGAAAAGTCTTCCTACGTTCATGGATAAGAAGAACCAATATTGTTAAAATGTCCAAAATGCTAAATGAAATTCACAGATTCAATACAATTCCCATTTATTATTAAATCCCATTGTCATCCTCTGCTCCAGACCATTAATATATTATCTGTGTCTGTATATTTACATTTTCTGGATATTTCACATAAATGGTTTCATACAACACATGGATACTCATATCTTGCTTCTTTCACTGAACATTACTAGAGTTTCTCTCTTGTAGAATGTATGCATTATTTGCAGTCATAATTCATAACACCTACTGAACGACAGAGGATATTACATATAAAACAAAAGAGAAGGATATTATGAAAAAACAACAAATAGAAACTGAAACATTTGGGATGGTGAAATAAACATATATTAAAAAGGCATATACAATAAAGCCAAAGAATTTTCCTATAATAGTAATCACTATTACCAAATTTTTGTTCTTTCATATCTTTGATTTTTTTTCTTCTGTRCCCTTAGATAATTTTTCTAAGTAGAGCTTTTAAAATAAAACAAAATAAAACAAAAATATTTTGTATAAAGGAAATTGAAAAAACAAAAAAAAGTAATCATAATCTTGTCTCTCATTTTTATCACTTAAATATTCATGCCCTATTATTAACATAGACTTGAAAAGCTTGGCTTCTAATAACTCCCAAATAGTCTCCCCAGAAACCATAAAATTTTGTAGAAATTTTGAATGGTTAGATATTTAGAGCATGCCCATATCTTCTGATGTGTAAATAAATGCATAATGTATATTACTGAGTAAACACTGAAATTACACACTGTTTCCTTCAGTTAGATTGTCAAGTGAACTTTCTGGATTGAAGAATATAGAACCTTGTTATATAATATACCACAAATGTGTTAGTGACACAGAAATTTAATTTGGGGTTAGTGTTGAAATACTTATTTTACTACATTTCTCAGATTTGAGTACCAGGCAAATTACATGATATAATAATTTGCTTAAATATGGACAAATATAAATTTATCTTTCTACATAAAAACCAAATGTTTGGGGCTAGGGTTATGGCTCAGCAGTAGAGAGAGCTCCTCGCACATGCAAGACCCTGGGTTCCATCCTCAGCGCCACATAAAAATAAATAAGTAAAATAAAGGTATTGTGTCCAATTACAACTAAAAAATAAATAAATGTTTTTTAAAAAGTTCCCTCTCTCTCTCTCTCTCTCTCTCTCTCTCTCTCTCTCTCTCACACACACACACACACACAGACACACACACACACACACACACACACACACACACACACACACAAACATGCATGAGCCTGTACATAAACATGAACACTCCAAAATATTATGTATTCAATTTATGTTTTCCAACATGTGCAACAACGTAATTTAAGATTTAGGTGGCATTTACTGGAGTCTTCCCAACCTTCCCAGATTGGCTCAGAAACCCTTCTTAAATACCCCTAGAGTCGTCATATCTGGATTTTTCTTATCAGATTACAGTTAAATGAACTGTTCCTAAAGCTAACTTTCTTTTAACCACCAGGCTTGAAGTAACACAAAAGTGGACATTTTATTTAATTTATATCTCCAGTCCCAACGTCAATTGCATAGTGCCTAAAACAATTTACTCATAATGTCAGTGGACACAAAAAGAACTTCAAGTTTAGAAGAGTGGGAATTTAGACATTTAATTATTATTTTACCATACTTCTTTTTATTAGAAAACTAAATTTTAGAAATCATTCTGCCATTTTTTTCAAATTGACCTATTTTGAAGATAAATTTTTAAATTATTTCAAGTTTAAAAATTCAAAGCCAGTTGAAGTTTTATTTCACTTATAAAATTTGGAAAATTACCTTTATAAATATATTTATGGCTATCAAATGATGAAATCCAARTGTGAAATGTTCATTTGCCGTATTTTGAGAATCTAAATTTCAATGCAGAAACCTTAAAAGTACATTTGGGATATGACTTTCTTCTTTTTGATCTTCAGTGGGAATATTAAAAGGAAATTGGGTTATATTAAGGAATCCTGTAATTTATCTGAAACTGGTCCAGTTTTGTGTGCTCATAGAGATTTTTAAGTCAGTGCTTTGACTGACTTGTGTTTCAGTGTATAGATCACCTGCTTTCTGCCTTTGGGAATTCATAAAAACTTTTTTCTGCCTGAATATGACTCTTTTCTTTTCTTTTTTCTGTTGTTATTTTATTTTAGGATGATTGGGTGGTGATTGAAGAATAGACAAATTTTCCAATTTGAAACAAAAAATTTTAACTGTTTTAAAAAATGTAATTTTTAAATTTGATATTGACAATTGGATACTTTTGATTGTCAGAAGGAATGTCCTGATAAAATAGAAAATGCTGCTTACCCATGGGATTTTCACTTCATGAGACTATTTCGTTTTAATTTCAGGAGGCCTTATTAGCGTATCATAGAAAATTACCAAACAAGCCATTCTTTCTCGCTTTTATAGAGATTTGCTTGCTGACTAAGGGACGACGCACTGCCAGTGTTCGAGCTGATACATATTGCCGTCTCTATTCCCTTTCGGTGGACAATTTCAATGAGGTCCTGGAGGAATATCCAATGATGAGAAGAGCCTTCGAGACAGTGGCCATTGACCGACTAGATCGGATAGGTACTCTTTACTTTTCTAACTTCTTCATGAAAATTTTTTTCATTTTGTGGCATAATACAAGTTTGCAATCATGTGTCCCAAAGGCTAGTTCAGTGCTTGTTATGTTATGTAGAAAAGCAATTAACTGTAGCCATTTTTCTGGAGAGTTCTGAGGTCCTATCTTTCCTGTTTTCTGGGTTTACATATTCACATCTGTTTTTACCAGAGACTCAATCTGATATACCATGTGATACCAAAACAGATTAAATCTTCAGGAAAAAAACTATCAATACAAATTCTAGAGAGCATTAAAATAGCACCAAAAATACAATAGTATGACTCTGCATTACAAACCAAATTTTGTCACAAGGTTCACTTTTTGTCTTGACATTTTATCCTTATATTAAAAATGGAATACTTTGTATTTAAATTGTTACCAGCAGAAACTTATTGAAATGTTTGTAATACAGACTCATGCAGAAAAAGCATTGATGGAAGTGCCCAAACTAGATATTTTACTTTGCAAATCCTGTGTACACTCTTCAGTGCTACAAATAAAAATATATAAATTATACCTTATTAGTTATGCTAATTTATGATTTGAATAATTGCCATAGTAAAGTTAGATCAGATTGGTTTGATTAACTTTCCTAAATATTCTGGAATATCCTGACATGTTATACTGTGGTATACATTCATTCTCCAAACTTGGACTTTCTTTGCCCATCTACCCTCGTTCCCACCTTATTTCCCCTCAACCCTCATATCTGTTTAAAAGTCACTGCCTTGTAGAAACCTTCTCTGACCTCTCATCCCCAAATAGGCTGAGTTCCCTGATTATGTTCTCTTATCTGAAGTGCCCCCATCACAACATTTTCATTATAGTAAGATACTAAGCTTTGTGAATGAAAGAGATCATATCTAATTAATCATTACATTCATAGTACCTGATGCCCAGTGGATATTTATTGAAAAGGGGGAAGGATCGAGAAAGGAATAAATGGACTTAAAGCAGATGGAACTGGGATCAGATAGAGGTAAACAAAAGGCACCTCTACTGCTTCATTCTTATTAAAGGAAGAACATAGATTGATTTATGGTTATGTCAGTATTTTTTTTCCTGCACTTGATATCTTTCTTTCCCTCTGTATTATGGAATAACAGACTGTATAAACATCTGAAGTTTGATTAGGTGAAAAGGGGAGCATTTGGATATTCTCATTAGATATAACAAGTGTATTAGAAATTCATATTGACAGCTGAGAGAATTTATAGAACGTACTCATCCATAGAGATGGTAGCCATAAAAGTAGGCACTCCTGATAGTATGCATGGAACTTGAAAAGAACTTTGGTTTTTGTGGCTTGAGTATTCATGTTAGACCCAGAGACTGATTTCTGAGTATGAGGTTTTCCTACACCAGCTGGACATCTTCAGATAAATCATGAAACCTAGGGTATTTTAGTAAAGAATTTCTGTTGATTTGGTATAGCTTCACATTCATCTAAATTATTTCAGCTATTTATTTAAAATAAAGTTTGCATGAAATGGTGTGCAATGAATTATAGAGACAATAAAATTCCTAGTAAGCATAAGCCACTTGCATTTTGATCTTTATAAAAGTATAACAGCACATAAAAATTATTTTAATTTTTCCATTAGATTAGGAAATGCTGGCTATTCAAATGGTCACAGAAAAACATTATCCATCTCAGTTTTGTGACCATTGCTTAGAAATATACACTGTCATTCATTAAGGGAATATGCTAAAAAAGCATTTGTGTTTATTATTCATATAGGATTTTTGTTCTTTGGGAAATTAGTGCAGTTTCTTTAAAAAAGAGAGATACCTGTCTTGGCAGCAATAAAAATGATTGCTTTTTTAGTAGCCAGGAAAATTTTAACACTTTCATTTTGAAAAATACCTGTTATTTCTTTTGATATGATACTTTATTTAGCAACATAGCAAACTGGTTAACTTTTCAGTTATCAAATTCACTTGGATTATGCTTTTTCCTTTTTTCACCAATCCACTAGTAATTCTACTTCTTAGTCTGCCAGAAAATCTCTAGTTATTTCAAACCATTTCAAAGATGATGACAGGAAGAAGAGCTAAGATTTATTGAGGTCCTTAGTGTGAGCTGAGCACTTGCCACACTATACCCCTGGCCTTCACCATAACCCTTTAGGAGAGGAATGATCACGAGATGGTTCTCACTTGGCTGCACATAAAGATCCCTTGGGGAAATTTCTTATTAAGGCACAACAGTCTAGATCCTGTCTGAGTCCAGAATTTGAATTGATAGGGTCTTTCAAGTTTGCTGGTCATTAGTACATATTAAAGATCCAGAGATGAGAGAAAAATGCAGTTGGAATTGAGAATCATTGGTGCTGGACATTGGTCAAGGACCTGATATGCTGCTCCCTAACCACCCTGGAGTCTTGGTAGAATGCAGTGGCAGATTCATATGTGGGGGCAGGCCAAAGAGGTTGCATATCCAGAAAGCAATCAGATGACAGAGATGCAGCCAGTCTGTTATCTGCAATCAGAGTGCACGATCACATTTCTTCTGTTTCCTTCCTACCCCTGTTACATTCTAACTGTGTTTTCTTGGGCACTGTACTTAATTGTCCCTTGCCCAGGTCTCCTTTCTAGTGACAATGGGATTATTATGACTATACATATATCATAGGGTACAGGCTGAAATAAAATAATGTACTAAAGTCCTTTGTAGAGCAAGGGCTCACATGTTTGCTGTTATTTCTCCATTGGCTTTTCTTGCATGAAATTCAAATCTCCTTTCTAGGTTCAGCCTGATCCAAAAGCCCCTTCTTCCCCCATTCTTTAAGATAGCTCTAGTGTTAAATAGCTCCAAATCTTTCATACACTTTTCCACTTGACTTGAGTAAAATTTAAGATTTACCCGGCAGATACAGGAAATGCACAGGGCAGAAGCTTCCTTTATATTTGCTCTGTAATGGGGAATTCTTGGATATTGCTTGTGAGTGATCCTCTTACCTGATCTCCTCATCAGTCAGGAGTAGACTCCATAAGTGCCTATCCTATCTTTTTTTCTTTTCTCTTTTTTTTTTTTTCCTTTGCTGATAGGCAAGAAAAACTCCATTCTTCTGCAAAAGTTCCAGAAGGATCTGAACACTGGTGTTTTCAACAATCAGGAGAATGAGATCCTGAAGCAGATTGTGAAACATGACAGAGAGATGGTACAGGCAATCGCTCCAATCAATTATCCTCAAATGACAGCCCTGAATTCGACATCTTCCACCACTACCCCCACATCGCGCATGAGGACACAATCTCCACCGGTGTACACAGCGACTAGCCTGTCTCACAGCAACCTGCATTCCCCGAGTCCCAGCACACAGACACCCCAACCATCGGCCATTCTCTCACCGTGCTCCTACACCACTGCGGTCTGCAGCCCTCCTGTACAGAGCCCGCTGACCACGCGAACTTTCCACTATGCCTCCCCCACGGCTTCCCAGTTGTCACTTATGCAGCAGCAGCAACAGCAGCAGCAGCAGCAGCTGCAGCAGTCCCAGGCTCCGCAGACTCAGCCACAGCAGCAGCAGCCACCACAACAGCCACAGACACCCAGCAGCTCCACACCGAAAAACGAAGTGCACAAGAGCACGCAGGCGCTTCATAACACCAATCTGACCCGAGAAGTCAGGCCCCTTTCGGCCTCGCAGCCCTCGCTGCCCCATGAGGTGTCCACTCTGATCTCCAGACCTCATCCCACTGTGGGCGAGTCCCTGGCCTCCATCCCCCAACCCGTGGCAGCCGTCCATGGCACGAGCCTTCAGGCGGGGGGCAGGGGCACAGTCCCTCAGCGAGTCACCCTCTTCCGACAAATGTCGTCGGGAGCCATTCCCCCCAATCGAGGAGTCCCTCCTGCACCCCCTCCACCAGCAGCTGCTCTTCAGAGGGAGCCTTCCTCAGTCTTAAACACAGACCCAGATGCAGAAAAGCCACGATTTGCTTCAAATTTATGATCCCTGCTAATTGTCAAAGCAGAAAGAAATACTCTAATAAACTGAGAGTATTCTCAGATCTTATTTTATTCTATCTCCTGATAGATCCCTATAGCCTACTATGAAGAGATATTTTAGACAGCTCTGGCCTACATGCAAAATGTAAAAACATATATATACATATACTATTAAATATATATCTAAATTCCCAAGAGAAGTTCAAAAGACCTGTTTAGCATTCAGTGTTATATGTCTTCCTTTCTTTAAATCATTAAAAGATTTAAAATGTTGTTGTAAGATTATTTCTTTCTAATGTACTTTTACTTAATTCTTTGGGTATATGTATTTCTCTATTTTATGAAGAGTTCTTGGATTCAATGGGAAMAAAACTATTGATTTTAAAAAGGCAATTCTCAAATGAGCTCTGGAATAGCACCAATCAAAATTTTTATTCATTAGTTGTGTCTCTGCATCTAAATTTTCAATCATTAATTATGGGGGGATTAAATAATAAATCCCATTTTATAGATCTAAATTGTAATTTGGTGCTTTCAATTTTGAATTAGAAAAAGAACACATTACATGCTTGGCCATTGTAGGAGACTAGCATTGCCACTGTTAAAAGACTGCCTCTATTCTCAAACACGTTCATTGGTCTTTCAGAAAGCTGAGGGAATATTTCTCTTCATGTGTTATTGGACTTTTACCAAGACTCAATCAATGTTAGCTGTAAATAACTTTTTGAACCCAAATAAAAATAGCTATTCTGTGTTGTATGAAGGTAAAAGTCATTGTTTAAGGATTTAGTTTTATTGCTTCACTTCAAAACTTAGAGTTTTAAATTTTACAAAACCGAATTGTGACAATTATTCAATTGTAATGCAATGGCTTGAAACCTACAATATTATTTTAACCTGCAACGTTTTATGCAAAAAATGTATGCTCGAATCTACAAATTGCTTGTATTACACCAAAAATCATTACTTTTCTTCCTTCTTGCCATAATCAAGCATCTGAAAATAGTCCCTGCATGCTTTTGGGGGGGAAATAATAGGTTCAAATCATTCATTATAAGGGAAGGCTTACAGTATTTTCTCATTTCTAGAAAAGTATAAAAATTCATTAATTGCCTATCTTAAAATTCTTGTAAGGCTGACTTGGATTTSTGACTTAAGTCTAGAAGTGAGGTTTTTCATTTTCATTTAATATTATTGCTATTATTATTATTATTTAAGTAATTATTTGCAAACCACAGCTTGATTTGGAGTTGAGAGTGTGTTCTATGTCTTCACTGTAGTTGGTAGTTCACTGTGGTGTTAATTTAAAGAAATAAATACAATATAYCATCATGTCTGTTTGGTAATACACATTTTGCTCTATGTATATTGTAACTAAGTGGTTAGTAAATCTTAAGGCATGTGGTGACTAACATAGACCTTAGATAGGAAGCTCATTATTTCAAATGTGCTGAAAACAGTATGTACATGGTGACAGAAAGCTGCCGTAAAGTTGAATGTCTGTGAGCATTGTTTATTTGTTCGTTCATTTGTTTCCTTAATTCTTTCCATGATCTGTGAGCATCTGCTTCTTCTCAAAGAAGTCCCTTAGTAATCATTTGTGCCTAATGCATCACAAAAAAATGTGGTGGATGACTGGAATGCTATGGAAAGATTCCTAATGTCCAACTTCTGCAAATAACCCAAATAACGAAAATGACCTAAAGTGGAGAACTTCAGTATCTCTGACTCTTATGGCACATTGAAGAAGAACTTAAAAAGATCACACATTATCTGGGACAGGGCCTCAAGATTGAGGACAGAAAGCAAAAATTCTGAAGTGGATCCATGCTGCCTGTAATGCCTTTTATGGATATAATACTTATAATACCMAAATGAGATATTATGTTTAATTTCTAACAGATCCAAAGTCGTGTGGAAGTGATCAACAATGCTAGTCAATATATTATCATTAATATGCTGGTGACAAATGATGGTGTGTCAGGAATGGCCTGAGAAATGAATTGTTCAGCCTACCTAGAATCTATGGGAAAGCTKCAAGACCTTATCAGTACAAAACTCCTTTATTTCATTAAAATATGAGAATTAACTTCAATTTATTAAGATCATGCATTGCTCCTTTAAATTGTTAAAGGTTTTACATTTGATAGAATTAATGGGTTTGGTAGTGAAATATTTTTATATATATGAATTTTTGGTTTTTTATTTTGAGCACTATTGGGAATCATAAGCAAAATTGAATTGCATGGTCTTTCAGTGCAACCATACAATTTTTATTCACTTTGTAATAGAATGGAAAAAAAAAACCCTAAGGTTTATATGCTAACCTAAACAAGGTACAGGGTAAATTATATACATATATATGTATGAATGTATATATACTTAGGTTAAGAAAAAAATTGACTCACATTCCTGTAATATAAAGGTTCATTGCTAGTTGACAGTGACCTCTTTTTCTCTGTACATAGTTAAGCCCACAAGTATGGAGTTTTAATCTGTACAGAAAGAAATGTATTATTGAAAAGATTGGCCTTTTTGCTGCTGGGAAGATAGTAACATAGCTGATTCCTACAACAACTGTATGATCAGGGATGAGTTAGAGTATTTCTTTTGTCTTTGCTCAAAGCCATACATATATAAATATATATAAAGATTATTAATAAATTCAACAGAAAATAAACTAAAATCATGAATATTTTATTTTATCAGTATCCTCTAATCAAATGTTTTGTTTTATTAATGAGTACAAATTTGCCTCTGTCTTCCTTTATTTATATCATATGATTGCCAAGAGGGCTTCTAGTTGAGAATCATCATAAGATTAATTATGGATGTTCTATAACTGTTGAATGAAAGGAATTTCAATAGAACTTATATTTCCCAAYTATCCCTTGATTTTACTCTGCCACATAGTAAAATATTAGTTTTTAAAAATATTTTTTTTTTGTTCTGTACTGCCTTAGCATGCGGTTGTTGTCTAATTTGAAATATCCATTTTTTTTGTTATTGGATATGAGGATGAGAAATAATTGTCATGTTATATACATATTCACAACTATTTTGTTACAGGTTTTAGGTTTGCAAAGGCTTTTGGATAGTGGTAGAATTTTTCATACAGTAGATTTTGAATCAGACCGAAAAGCCCAAGAAAAAGATTTTCATGATGAAGATAAATAGCAAAGCATACCTGAAGACAATGAGAATGAATGATATAATTGGCAACAGATTCTAATTATTAAATACATAGCACTTCTCCAGGTCTCCATGACCRTCTCTCCATAAGCAAGTGATTCCCTGATGAATGCTGTTCCACTTTAAAAAGATGGTTATTTTGCATTTTTATGGACTTAAATGAGCATTAGTATTTTCAGGACAYTATAAAGTATACAATCAAGGTATTCTGATAACTCCTACAGGACATGGACCACTTAAAAATGTGACGAATCTAAAAATTTAAATGTATTATTTCAAGACCTGAATCATTTATACTTCAATGTATAAGTTATCTCAATTATCTTCAGTGTTATTTTAAATATCTCCTGATCTTCTCTTTTCAACTTAGGTTTTTGTATTTGATAATTATTGGTTTGTGCCTATGGAGCTAACTTTGAYTAGTTATTATATTAAGTGACATCAATTAGATTTCTTTCCCTATTACCTCCATCATTTTAGAACATTTGCCACAAACCAATGTTATTTTGTTCATATGAACTACACTTAGCAAAGTTTTATTACATKCTAGGCTCACATAAAAAAATTATTCATGCTATAACATGAATAGAATAATTGGATGCTGAACTAAATTTTGAGTTCTGAAAAGAATGGTCAGAAATTCAAGGAAGTATGATTGGTGGCATGCACCAAATTGTAGCTCAGTTCTATAACTTTATTCAATATATTCCGTTTGCAAAAAGAGGCTGGAGATTTTCCTGAAAGTGTTCACTGGTGTATTCCAGATTACCTGCTACTGTCCTGTGAAAATAGTAACTTTCAAAGAAATTTTATTTTTATTTTAAAAATTTGTTTATTTATTTATTCTAATCAGGTATACATKACAGTAGAAAGCTCTTCAATTCATTGTACACAAATGGAGCAGAATTTTTCATTGCTCTGGTTTTGCAAGAAGGAGAGTCGCACCRTTTGTGCAATCATAAATGTACCTAGGGTAATGATGTCCATCTCATTCCACCTGTTTTYCTATACCTTTACCTCCTCCCCCCTCCCGTTTGCTCATCCAAAGTTCYTCCACTTGTCCCATGCTCCCTCYCCCATTGAATTAGCATCCACTTAACAGAGAAAACATTTGTCCCCTGGTTTGTTGAAATTGGCTTATTTTGCTTAGCATGATATTCTCCAACTCTATCCATTTACCTACAAATGCCATAATTTTATTCTCTTTTAATGCTGAGTAATATTATATTATATACTACAGTTTCTTTATCCATTCATCTATTATCAGCTTTTATCCATTCATCTTTATCAGCTTCTAGGTTGCTTCCACAGTTTAGCAATTGTGAATTGTGTTGCTATAAACATTGRAGTGACTGCATTACTGCAGTATGAAGCTTTTAAGACTTTAGGGAATGGACCAAGGAGTGGGATAAATGGGTCAAATKGTGATTCCATTTCAAATTTTCTAAGGAATCTCCATACTACTGTCCAGATTGGTTGCCCCAATTTGCAGTCCCACCAGCAATGTATGAGTATGCCTTTTCCCCCAATTCTTGCCAACACTTATTGTTGCTAAAGAAAATTTAATTMTTTCCTTTTTAAAAGTGATATCTGTTTCTTTTTAGGCAGGCAAATGATTAAGGTTATCATGATTGCAAAACGAAGAAAGAAACTATAAATGACTTTGCCTAAATTCATGAAAGATTTAGGAGCAAATCCAGCCAGAGTACTCATCTTCCTCTTCTTCCTATTTTGGAGTTTTTCACCAATGACCATATTCTTTCTCTCTTCAGGAATAATTTATATTTTCATTAATATGTGCCATTTTGTTCTTTCTACATCTTAGCTTTAGCGTATGAAAGGCATGTGTTTCTCTATGTAGGAAAAATTTCTGGCATATTTACAAGTCTTTCAGCACARAAGATTGTTTTGTTATATCTGTCTTGAAGAAAATATTAGTGATTTTGTAATATTTGTTTGCTTTTCAGTTTGGAAAATCATTTTGTCAGTTCTCCCTCTTCTCCATACTGAAATATATTCTCTCTTTAATACCAAACAATCAGAAAAGGAGACCATCTTCTTAACAGGTCTGGAACAAGGGTAACATGAGTGAGGCATTTGTCTCATGCACAAAATTTGAGATACCAAAACGCTCAATAACATGACAAATAAAATTCTAAAAATCAAAATGAATATAATAATGAACCTAATATTATGATTTTAAACCAAGGCAGAATCCAACCTTTCACTTGCATGACCCAGCCTCTCTTGATTCACCTTCTTCCTATTAGGATGCTTAGCTATAGTCTTGCTCACTCTTCAGGCTTTGGCAGTTTCAAATGAATGGAGATTTGAAGGGTTTTTATGAGCTTATCCTCATTCCATCTTTATAATTGTTAAAGGATGATAYGAAGGGAACTTAAACATAAGGCTCTGAATATATTTTCAAAGTTTTTGATGTAGAAAGGACAAGTAATGTATTAAATGCTGAAGAAAAGAATTAACAGTTAAGGACAAATTAAACCTGCCTTTTTAAAGTGTACACATTCAACAGAACTCAGCTRACTGGGAACACTGGCATTTCCCTGMAACTGGAAAGCTCACTGACTGAAAGAATAGAACATGAATATGGATTCAGAAAACTTCCAATGGGTATTTATTATCAAGCTAAAGTTTTAACATAATCATATGGATATTATTAATCAGAGGGCCTGTGTCAAAATATGTTTATTGTTAATGTGAAARGAAATAAAATAATTCATGACAGCAGAAATTGGGGGCTATTTACAATCCACACTTCCCTGTGAAGTGGCAGGCTCTAAGGAAGACTGTAGCTTTGYTAGATAGGGGAATGGTAAATAGAAAGTTTACTTACTTTGCATGAGACAAAGACTATAGGGGAAGGGAAAGAGCCTAAGAGAGTAGGATGTAGCACCAGTAAGAAGAGAAAGTGGTGATGGAATAATTTTGGTTAAAATGAAGCAAGTTCCCCAAGTCTTATTTGAAGTAATACACCCCAAAGATTGACAAAGGAGGATATTTTTTAGAGCTACTTTATTTCTAATGTTTCTTCAGTGACCATTTACTCCCAAAGCAAACCAGCTCTTTATTTTAATGTAATAATTTTAATAATAACATTTGAACTGAGCACATCTGAGTTAGTACATAATAATTCTTCAAAATAAGGTCTATTTTATGTTTCCATTAGATTTATATAACTGAATTCAAGTAATGTAGAATCAGAATGATGAAGGAGTTTTCAAAAAAACAAATTTAAGTTTTATCAGATGAATCATATTTTTCTACACAGAAAATTTATATTTATAGAGGTAAAGTGATTTTCTTAATATATTTTAAGTTTCCACTTAATTTATGAGGGAAATTCTCTATAAATGGGAGGTATACTTTTGAAGGAAGAAGGARCAGAATTCAAAGAAGTTTGAGAGATTCAAAATGAGATTTCCAAATGTATTCTCATTTCTTCCTTGTAATATATTTGTTCAAGGCCTTAGCCTCCAAGCATTTAAAAATAAAAATTGTTTGCTAAACTGCTCTAAGCTCTATTGCCAACCTAACACATTACAATTCTACTGAAAAGTTTGCTTCTGAATTGCTCTGATATTGTGATATCTAACATAATGAAGTATTTAGTTTGAGAAATATTAGATAGTATTTAATAGACTTGTATACACTATATAGCATATATTCTACATACATTCCCATAATAAGAACCAAATGCCTATTAGCTACATTGACTTTTAAACAAACATATGGAAAGATTCAAGTAATTGTCTTACTCCCAGTATTTATCTTAAAATTATAAGCACATACCCCAAGGATAAAATAAATCAAAATATGTTCAACCTCCAAATTAAAAACAACCTTCAGGCCGAGTGGCAAATATAAGTATTCTCAAGAGTGATTTATCTCTTCTTGATAACCACAGATCCATTTTGGGAGTCAGCCAAAACCCATAACCTGAGTTACTTTTACTCTTATAGAACAGTGATCAAATCTATTCATTTGAGTTTGTTTTGCATAGTTCTTTTTAAAGGTATGATTACTTACTTTATGTATGACATTCTACGTTTCTATAAGTAGACGGCATTGACTTTTAATTTCTCAAAGAGTAACTTTTTAAATTGACACCTATAATGAAATGAGTTGGCTTTTTATTAGCTTTCACGTGAGCCACAATAGCAGAAACTTATTACATATTTTGTTAGCAGCTACTCCAAGCTATGGATGTTGCCAAGTTTTGAGATTTTTGACTAGCTTACTAATACAATTTTCCACATAAATCGATTACAAACATATGTCAAAGTTTTACTTTAATCTTAACAAGAGAACTCTGAGTAAGATAATTTAAAGATTCCTTCAAGGTAAAATTATTTTGTAAGTAGAAGAAAATTTAAAAAAGCAAAGAGGGAAAGATGAAGAAAGAGATAAAAAAAAGAAATTGGTTCAGTAATCTTTTTTTAAAAAAAATATTACTGGTTACTGATTATTAACCTC